TTATCTATTTTCATCGATTTTAGTTAATTATCTTAATTGATATGAAAAGTTGTAATACTTTTTTTTTTAAGTTGGACATTTGCAAATTTTGCAAATTATTTTGACGAAAAAAAAAAATGATTTCTTTAATAGCAGTGAAAGAATACTTAAAAAATGAGACCTTCCATTATAATGAATTTTTAAGTGAATAATTTAATTAATTTAATTTCGTCTTCCATTAAGTGTTAATGATTTGACAATATCAGTGAAATATTCCGAATATTGTAACTTCGAAATATTCCAATTACAGGTGTCAATTTCTTGTAAAATTAAGAAAACCGTAGCGAAATTCTACGGTTCAAAAAAGCATTCGCTGAATGATAAACGATTTAAATAAACAATTTTGAAGCCACGCAATTTTTCGTAATCAATCAACTGAGTATGAATAATCCTAATTTTTAGCAGAAATAAAACTACAATTACAATTTGCACATGTACTTTTATATTTCATTAAGCTCAGATTTCCATATTTTTTCATTTCCATATTTTTTCACTATTGCCTTCCTCCTTGTAATCCTCTCCGCTGAAGCAAAATCACATTATATATATATATATATATATATTTTTAAGATTTCGAAAATATTTAAGAGATATTCGTAAAAAATATTTAAAATATTTATATTTTGTTATTAATATTTATATTTAAAATATTTATATTTAACAGTTTAAAAAAAGGTTTAAAAAAAAAATTTAACGCTTATCAATAAATTTAAAGACCATTTATATGAAAAACAATATGTATAAATATATTAGCAGATTTTATGTATCGCAAATATTTCAGGAATATTTTAATATTGTCTAAGGAGTGAAATTTCAGCTAAAATGTTCTTTTATTTAATTTGCTTAGTATTAAAAAATATTTACGGTTTTGCAAATGTTTCATCTTATTTCTGGAACAATGGTAGGTAAGTTTTCGGTTTCGTATCGATGCAATAACTTAGATCTACTTAGGCTTTTTTTTTTCATACCATCTTCACCAGCGCCAAATTCCTTGAAATAGGCTGTATTTGGTCTTTGAAATAACCAAATTCGAATGATAATGAAGAATGGAAAAATGGGATCAATCGCATTTTCTTTTATCATATCAAAAATGGGTTTTATTACTGCTAATAATGGCATTATATAGCGCAACTTGGAAACGTCTTATCCTTGTAGTCAGTGCAGCAAGCCTAACTCGTAATGGTGAGAGCTCATAGGAGTCGATGAAGAACTGAAGAAAAGCCACATGAAAAGCATAAATGATGATCAATAATGAATGACAATGGTGCATTTCATAAATCTATATGCAAAAATACTTTCTTCCTTTGAAGGTCCAATTAAGAAAACAAAAAAGAAATTCTTGAAACCATTGAACACAATGTTATTTATGATACTTATACTTATGTAATGATACTTACAAATGTTTTATGCATTACGATGGTTTTTATGAAATTATTTTGACATAAGAAAATGGTTGAGGTGCCCCGCGGGAATAAATCTGTCACTAAAAAATCGTAGTAATTCGCATTTTAAGATATTTCATGAAAAAACCATTGAAAAGCAATTTGAAAGGTTCCGAGAAATTGCTAATCGGACTTCAAATATCTCTGAGTTCCTTTCGATTCCATTTTTCCCATTTATAATGACATCTTTCAGTTCATTTCGCACTTCTATTTTCTTTAAGGCCATTAATTTTTGCTTTATCAATCGCATTTTCTTTTATCATATCAAAAAGTAAAAAGCTATCATAACATAATCATAACATAAGTGCGTATTGGAAGTCGTATAAGATTATAGTTCTTAAAAGAAAACCACCATGGACTACTAAAAAACAGCTGACTCGCAAGCCAAAAAAACCGCGATATAGATATTACATGCAAAGGAAATAATGAATAAATATACAAATAATACTGAGGATGTCAGTTATTTTTTACGAATGTGCTTTTTAGTTAAATTTCCTTATTTTTTATATTTGTATGAAATATTTTATAGATATTTTAATAATATTATCGATATTTATAAATCGATTTTCTAAAACAGATGACTGAAGTAAAACAATTCTATTCCGAATTCCCAAAAAAATGTTATTGGACATACTGTGGTCGAGGAATTAGCTTACTAGATATCTCAGAGAAGATTTTTGAATCCGTTCTCCTGAATGGTTTTATGGCAATACGAGAAAGCAAGATGGCCTTAACCATGATAGCCGAGACGATTGTATTGGCCAGTTATGTTAAGTGTTGGAACATCGCTCTGAGATCCTCCTTGATAATTTTTCTTGGCATAAAATGGTGAGAAGGCTAGACTTGATTGAATACGACTAGAATACGACTAAATATTTTCTGTAAGCCTCATTGTCAAAAGAAAAGGCCGAAGTAATCAAACTAGACTAGATTTTAAATTCAGGTCCAAGTTAGAAACAGGAAAGTAGATGGTGCCAGCCCTTAGAAGACGAAAGAGAAAAGAATTTGGTAAAATGGTACCATGTGAAAATGAGAAAAATAGCAGCAAAAAACGAAAACTAACCAACTTCGAAACATTTTTTTTTACGGAAATAAAATTTATCAAAGGCGAAATCTAGGTGATAATGATCTGTCGAAGCCCGTCGAAGCACTAAATGCTTAAACATTTATAATGCTCTAATATTATCACGAATTTAACGACGATATACGACGAAAAACTAAAACGATAGATGAGGTACATAGATTCGTTTTATATTTCCAGCCAGGAGAATCTGATAATGATAACGACCTAAAGTGAAAGCGATATCATTTGTTTGAAAAAAAAGAAAAGAACGCTCAAAAAAAGGAATCTTGCAAAATGAAATGAAATCAACGTTTGTAAAATTGGAAAATATTTAATTTCCTGTGATTGTTACAAATATAGAATTCATTATACCAATTGTTCTGAATAAGAACCAACAAAGTATAGCAGGGCCAGTATCATTTACCTAGTTTATTCTAAGTAAATAGCCTGTGGGCAGTTAATGAATCTGATAATGATTTAATATTTCCTATGACGCTTGTGAAATTTAAATGTCTACTAAACCTTTTTCTATCGTTTCTTTTATTGGAATTTCCGGCTAATTGGAATTTTACGCAGCGTCAAATTATTAGCGAATTAATAGAACTATTCGAGAAACCCATTTTTTTCCCCTATTCCTTACTCTTCGGTCAATTTCACTGAGAAAAATCCCTCAGTATTGATTTTAATATTTTATATAATATAAATAAAAATTCTTTAATAAAAAAGAAAAAATTCACAAAAACTTAGGTAAAGCTGACTGCCATATTTAAAACAAAATCAAAAGCTGACCACAAATCAATGAATCTCCCGCAACCCGTTCATCTCCGTTCTATACAAATTTTTATAATTAATAAAAAATATTAAATATTAAAATAAGAGGAAACCAAAGCAGCAAGGATAGAAAAATTCGCTCAGCAACCATTGCTTTAAGGTTTATTAACAATAGCAAAAAAAAATTCCTCGATACTTTTCATTTCCTAAGGCATTTAAGTGCTATTAAATCCTTTTAGAAATTCTCGAAATTTTATCAGTTATACTTATAATTTTTTCCTACATAAAAATAATTGATGAGTGGAAAGTGCATTAGACAGTTTCACTTGAATTTTTCAAGTTCTTCCATTTTTTATTCTTTATTTTATATATTGAATGGCCGATTTTCCATTTTTTACCGCCAATTGTTTAAGGTGTTGCTTTTGTTTTTATTGCTTTTTAATAATTCGATTGCCTAGAGGGCAAAAAGTTAAACTTATAAAATCGATTATTGCCTCTATTTTTGCCAATTGAAATTATTTTTTAACGACTTATATAAAAGTTTTTCGAAATGTATTTAATGAATAGTAGTAGTTTTATTATTATTTTTTTTATTTCAGCACGGTTTCGAAAACGTTTCAAAGGGAAACCCAATAAATGAAAAATCGCGGATGATGAGAGAATTCGTTGAAAAGGTGGATGTTTTTCCGTAAATATAATAACTATTATATTATTGCAAACTCAAATTATTAACGTTTTGCATGGCAAAAAACTATAAAATAGCAAAGAAAAAAACCAAAGTTCATTGTATTTTTAATATTTTGTATGAAAAATTTTGGCTATTTTCTATTTTATATTTTATATTGATAATCATTAAATTCTAATAGGTGGAATAAACTGAAGAAGGCTTCAAAAATCAAATCTGCTTTTCAAGAATCCGAGGTATATAAAAGAAGGTTTTCGCATATTAATAAGAAGAATTGAATTGAACACGAACTGCAAAATTTCATAGGAATTTTAAAAGTCGTTTATTAAAAGTTGAATGAGTAATTATATATATATAATTTTTTTTTCTTTCATCAAAATAATTTGCAAGGATTGCAACATATGAAAATAAAATAATCGCAAATTATTTAACTTATTAATAAATTATTTAACTGAAATTGTTGCAAATAAATAATAAAAAATCCAATTAGATAAAAAAAAATTCCACCTTCAAATACTAAAAATTATTTATTGAGGAGAAGTACAAGTATAGCAACATTGTCTTCTTAGAACGTCTGCATATCGTGTGCTGTTGCAGAAGGGTTTGTATGATAGACAGTTGACTCTGCTATCAATACAAGCCAGCGCAGGCGTTGAACCTAAAGTTGAGTATTCATCAATGCCAGTGGAAATTTCATTATAGAATAGTTGAAGAAGAAATTGTTGAAAATCTCGATGCTAAAATATTTTTACTTAAATTATTTGATAAGGAAACTAACAAGTGCGGCAGCATTCTCGTCTTAGAAAATCGCCGTATCTTGGGTTAGTGCAGAATGGTTGATAAGAGTTACAATTTAGCCGCTTATCTTCGCAGGTCGATGCGGTTGTTGAACCTAAAATTGAATGTTGCTTACGAACATCCAAAAATTATCACGAATTTTTATCAGTTTTCTACTGAAAGATTTGAGAATTGTTCAATCATTTAAAAAATCGACTAAAAACTATCTGATAATCCCCGCTGTTAAAATTGATTCTTTCAATTCGCATTTACCTGACAAACAAGTTTTTAAATTGCAACTTTTCATGCACATATTAGCCACACTAGTCTTGTTGCACTGCTTAGGATCCAAACCTATTATGGTAGCGCAATTATCACTTCTATCAGGGCATTCTCCTAGAACACCTGGTTGATCGCATAAGCCACATGTTGCTGGACATCTCGCAAGAATTATCGGGTATAAATTTGGATTTTTGCAATCCCTCCCGAAAATTAATAGTTGACATGTTTCATTGCTTGCTGCATCTGAATTATTAAAAAATATTAGTACTGAAATAAAAAAAACTTCAATCACCACAAGTTTTGGTGAAAAGTCAAAATGCATAATTGTTTAGCATATTCGAAACATATTGGAGATGAAAAATATCTCAAATTTGTATGAGATTATCAATTAGTAATTGATTAATTGATTAATGATATTATAAACAATGCAATGGAAATTGGAAAATTTGTTAGTTACAGGCGATTCAGAAAAACTAAATTTAATTCCAATAAACTCAAAACTGAACGTAAAATCAGCAAATTTATTATCATTTTTTTTAAATTTAAATAACTATTTTTAAAATTAAAGCATTTATAAATTTGAGTAACCGTTCTGGCAGTTGAATTGTTTAGTTAAGCAGCATTTCGCGCACGAACTTGCACACTGAGTTACGCTCAGTGTTTTATATTGAATTTCCTTGCAATTTTTGTTTACTTTGTAATCTTCCTCGCTGAAATAAGATAAATGAGTAAAAAAATATAAAATAAGCTAAATAAAATAAAATAAAATGAATGAGTTAATTTATTTGCTAAAAAATATTTTAAGTTAATATTTTAGGCTAATTTTAATTTTTAGTGGAAACATTACGAAAAAAATTAGTAGAATAGAATAATATCACTAAATTTCGTCCATCTAAAACACTTCCCTTTCGTTTGTTTCAGATAGTAANAAACTCAAAACTGAACGTAAAATCAGCAAATTTATTATCATTTTTTTCAAATTTAAATAACTATTTTTAAAATTAAAGCATTTATAAATTTGAGTAACCATTCTGGCAGTTGAATTGTTTAGTTAAACAGCATTTCGCGCACGAACTTGCACACTGAGTTACGCTCAGTGTTTTATATTGAATTTCCTTGCAATTTTTGTTTACTTTGTAATCTTGCTCGCTGAAATAAGATAAATGAGTAAAAAAATAAGCTAAATAAAATAAAATGAATGAGTTATTTGCTAAAAAATATTTTAAATATATAAAATATCAATATTTTAGGCTAATTTTAGTGGAAACATTACGAAAAAAATTAGTAGAATAGAATAATATCACTAAATTTCGTCCATCTAAAACACTTCCCTTTCGTTTGTTTCAGATAGTAAGGTGAGAGCCTTTCATTATGCAAATCGTTTACTTTTAAGGTGATTTTTGATGATACGGGAAAGGAGCTGCCAGCGAATTTATTTATTAATATACATACTGCAACCGAGAATTAATTTGATTTTATAAGATTCCATTGAAATTTAAAACAAAAATTAGCGAATGGGATGAATTTTTAAAAAATTGAAGAGACAACTGCAGGAAAAATTCCGTAGAATATTGGACTAAAGTAACGCAAATGCTCGCAAGTCATCGAAAAATCTTTAATGATCAAAATGACAGCTAAATGCCTTTCCTCTTCAATTCATAAAATATTCTAAAAATGCATACGGATTAAGATTATTAGTGTAGGTATTTGCATCTTTTCCAAATAAGGCATTACACAACTCGGAGCTCATATCGTCGCAATAATTTGGATCTATATTTGGATGTTTTTTTTTTGACCATTTATATCAACTTCCTTAAAGCAGTCGCCAATTGCTTCATAACCAGAACAACAAAAATCGAATAACTGATGAAGAATAAGCCACATGAAAAGCATAATTAAAAATTAACAATGAGAAACAGTCGCATGTTTCGTAAATTTATATGGGAAGCCACTAAACCTCCCTAAAGGACCATTTAGAGCAAACAAAAAGAATAATTTTGAAGCGTTGAAAATAAATTTTTCTTCCTGATTACTGTAGTTAAATAGAATTTCGCAAACAAAGCATCGCAGAAATTTTGATAAATAATTTGTGCGAAGGTTTTTGAGGTTTTTTATTATAAAAAAAATGAAACTTTCTTCTTCTGATGAATTTATAAATAATTTAATTAATTTAATTTCGTCTACCATTAATAATGATTGGACGGTGTCAGTGAAACTCCCAAATATTCCAACTGGTTCGATGTTTCTTGTAAAATTATGGAAACCATACCGAAATTCAATCTTTATTTCTCGATGCAGTAAACATTCTTCAAAAAACCTTAGTGGTCAGCCTAGTTCTCGCAGTATTTTATAATAATTTTCACATATATTTTATAAATATTTTGAAGAATTGCTTGGAAATTTCTAATCAGAGCATTGTTATAAGAGCGATGTGAAACATTTTTTAACAGACGAATGTTGTCACAATCTGCATGTTAGATGCATTCAGTGGGGATTTCGATGAGCAAAATCGTTGTCCAACGAAAACTGTGAAAAGAAAAAGAAGAAATTTGTGCTAAGGTAAGCGAAAGGTACTTTTAGAAAATAGCGCCTCCTAAGATCCGAGAAATATCGAGTAATATCGTTCGTTACAAAAAAGGCGACGCTTTTATAAACTAAAGGTTGGGCTGATGTGAAGGATCTATAAAATTGACTGAATGTATTCGGATAAGTGCGAATAGGCTTAAACGGATGAAATAAATGTTATTGTATGAATGATCGCAAAACTTGGAAAAAATACGTTTTCTTGATTTCATCTATTTTTCACGATTATTTGCTTACATTAGATGAAATTTTTTACGAACCTTTTTCTATCAATTTCATTTTTTCGCAGCTGCAGCAATAATTCAACAACTTTTCATTGCCTATTATCATTTTGCTTTTAATAATAAAATTTTCTCGATTTTTAGCGATTTTTTATATTTATAACGAATTTTCACGAATTTCGATAAACTCAATAACTATTTGCAGCATGATCTTACACATACCGTTAGGCTCAGATTTCCACATTTCTCGCAAAAAAATCGCTAAATCTTAGTGTCGGTGGAAAAATTCATAGAATTCATGAATTTGTATGCAAAAAACGTTTTTCCTCTGAGGCACCAATTAACGAAACAAAAAGAAATTTTTGTAACCACTGAATTTATTTTTTCAATTTACTATAATCAGCCAGAAATTCGCAAATCCGAAATTGTTTAAACGTAAAATTAAAAAATAAAATTTATTGAATTTATAAATAAACAAATTTAATCTTATTTCGTCTTTTACTATTAACAATTAAAAAGAAGGTGAGGCGCTGTGGGCTTACAATGAATGAAACATTTTCCTAGTTTTTTAGCAAATTCGTATTTTTGCAGCTGCAGCAGTCATTCAGCGATTTCTCGCCTTTCATTACCAATTTATTTCTACTATTTTATACGAAAATTTTGTTGAAATCTAACGGATTTAGTAATCGATAGAATAAACTGCAAATGCCTTAAAGTTTCAAAAGCATATGTGTTTTTCAAGGAGGATTTTGCACGAACTTCAAAATTTAATTTTAAGTAAAATAAAGTTTATGCATAAACCAAAAAATCTTACAAAATTTTTCTGGAAAATAGTTTCTTATAATTCTTAAAGAACATTTTCCAATATAAACCATGCGTTTTATGCTTTTTATAGATTTTAACCATTTTCGATTGATAAAAAATGTTTCAGTATTGCTAAGAAAAAAAATGGATCATCTTTGTGGCAAATGGAGCATTTAAAATTAGGGCGAATCTCCTTATATTTTTCTAAAATCTCTTGGAATTCTACTTTCGCATTAATGGAATACTCATTCAATTCGTTCCTTCGCTAATTCCTTTATCGTTTCTAACAGTCGAGAGTTGTTTTATCTGAATGAAAGCGTAGATGCATTCATATGAGATTATAATAATGAAAATTATCGTTCAACGGAGAACTATTCGTGAGAATAAAAAAGAAAAAATTGCTAAAATAAAAGAAAAGTGGTTTTTCGACAAAAATGCATCATAAAATACGAGGGAAAAAGAGGAACATCTTCAGGAAAACAAGAGCGAAGTTTTTATGTCTCAGAAGCGTCTGTAGAATGGAATTAAGTTGACATGAAGAAGATTAAATGCATTCAGATAAGTAAAAATAAGTTGATAAGTAAATATTATTGTATTGTAGGAAAATTTGTGCAGAATATATTTAAATGTGCTTCACATATAATAGCCGGAGGCTCTGTTTACATATATTAAATGGAACATTCTCCTAGCTATTTTGAAAATTCATATTTTTACAGCGCTCCTTCAAAAATTTTTCGCCATTCATAACCATTTTAGTTATTTAGTTATTTTAGCTATTTTTTATACTAATTATCGTAGCAAAATCACCTAATCATCTCGCATATAATTTTATAAAGACTAACCCAAATTCGCAAACCCATTACTGATAAAAGACGAAATTAAATTATTATTTTCTATTTTATTTTTTATATTTTATCTACAATTATAAAAAAAGATTTCATATTGTAATTTTTTTTATAGTACATTCGAGGAATTTTAGACTAAAAAAATGCGAATTTCTAGCTGACAATTGAAAAAAAAGCAATTTTCATGACTCAAATTTGCGTTTTGTTTGTTTTAAATTGTGCTTTAGAGGTGGGACGCATTTTCGCATATAAATTTATGAAATCTACCATTAGCGCTCACTGATAGTTGTCAATTATGCTTTTCACCTGGCTTATTTGTCTCCACTTATTGGAATTTAGTTATTCTGCGGATGAAGCAATTAAAAAATGCTTCAAAGAAGTTGGTGAAGATAATAAAAAGCGGCCAACCGTTGAACCAGATTATTGTCATGATACGAACCCAAATTTATGCAATGCTTTATTTCAAAAGCTAGGGCCTACTTACCTTAGGAATCTCAATCCGTAGGTGTTTTTTTGATTTTGATATAAATTGAATAAAAAAAAAAATAGGTAAAACTCGATTTTACAAATGATATTAAATATATGATATTAAACAATTTTCGAGCATTTATGCCACTTATGTTATGTTATTTAGTCTAAAAGTCTAATTGTTTTTTTCGTAATTATTTCTCAAAATTTTTATATTTATAGGTTATTTAAACATTTATTATTATTTTTTAAAAAATAAATTAAACAGCTTTATTTCAGCCGTCAAGATTACCAAGTAAACCAAAAGTGCAATGAAGAGAAATATGAAGCGCTGAGCGTAACTCAATGTGCAAGTTCATGTGCAAAATGCTGCTTAACTAAGCAATTTAACTGCAATAATGGTTATTTGAATTTGAAAAAATTCTAAAAAACTTTTCGTATTTTACGTAAAACTTTGAGTTTACTAATTTTAAGTTCAACATTGAAAATTTTATATCGAAAAAAATTTTGGAAGTCGCATTGCTGAAGTTTTTCGTCGAAATTTGTACAAATTTATGGAAATAATTACATAAATTAATGTTAAATATATTTTTTTATTGAATTTTTTCCATAGATATTTTGAAATTTGCAATATTATTTACAATATTGCAATAATTTAAAATTGTGTGCAATTTTAAATTTCATTTTATATAATCGATGCGATTCCAATGCGTTTCGATTGTGATAAGCAAGAAAGAATTAGATTTTTCACTAAAATTTGTGAAGCTCTAAGTTTTCTTTTCAATAATAATATTATTTAAATGATTCAGATGCTGCTAGCAATGGGATATGCCGGCAATTGAATTTTCCGAGACATTGCAAAAATCCGATTTTATATCCGATGCTTGTTGCTAGATGTCCAGCAACGTGTGGTTTATGTGATCAACCAGGTGCTCTAGGAGAATGTCCCGATAGAAGCGATATTTGCGCTACCATAATTGGTTTGGATCGCAGCCAGTGCAACAAGACTAATGTGGCTAATATGTGCATGAAAAGTTGCAACTTAAAAACTTGCTTGCCAAGTAAATGTTAATTAAAACAACCAATTTTACTGACTGTTTCTTCCATCAGTTTTTTATCGCCCTTTACTAGAAAGACTGAAAACACGTTTTACTAAATATTTTTAGCAGAAAATTGAAATATTGAAAAGTTAACTTCCAAATATATACAAGAAATAGTCGTTTTTAGATTCAAAAACCAGAACGACTTGTGACGATAAAAGACAAAATTGTTATTCTTATCAACCCTTTTGCAACATTCCAAGATATGCAGATTTCCTTAAACGAGAATGCTGTCGCACTTGTTCGTTTCCTTACCAAATTATTTTCCTACAAATAATTTAGTGAAGCGATTTTCCAGCGAGTATCTTCATGAGCTAAGAGAGAATTTGGCAGCAATTTTACTGTTTATGAATTGGATTTTAGGTTCAGCACCAATCTGTACTGACAGCAGATATAACTGTCCGTCTTATAAACCCTTCTGCAGCACTCCGCAATATGCAGACTTTCTAAGAAGGCAATGTTGCCGTACTTGTTCGACTCCTTAATATTTGCTGCTTAAAGCATCATCGCAGATGTTATTTTCCATTATCTATTTTCATCGATTTTGGTTAATTATCTTAACTGATGTGAAAAGTTATAATACTTTTTCTTTGAGTTGGACATTTGCAATTTTCGGAAATTATTTTGACAAAAGAAATTCAATAAGTTCTTTAATAATAAAGAAAAAATACTAAAAAAAATGAAACTTTCGTTTTATAATAATTTTATAATTTAATTAATTGTTAATCGTTATGGACCTCTGTGCTATATGAGCGGATCCCTAAATGTGCATTAATGAATTAATGAACAGAATTAAAGAAAAAATGAATAGATTAACAAAGCTATTCTTATCACTATATTATTATATTATAATATTTTGCTATCTAGTAATT